CTTTGGGCTACATTTTATATATTTGAGATATACACCCCGGCAAGGATTTGATGGTTTTTGGAATTATTACCCATTTCACTGATTCACTCCAATGAGCCCAATTTTCAGCACTTTGTTAAATGTTATCTTGCCTAATGCCAGACAATTTTATTTGTCAAGGGAACTGTCTAGCTTGACTCTGCCCATGTTTCATGTTGATATATTTAGATACAATTTTCCCTAACACTACCTACTGTAAGTACTTTGATATTCAACTCTGACATGTCATGCTAGACAATTTTGATTATCGACTGCGGACTACTTGCCCATATTTCACCTATTAACACCTAAGGAGCAATTTCTTCTTATGTTACATACTTTAAGTTCTTTGTAGGGGTGTGCAGGGTAGAGTCTTTTTGCCCTCCAGCCAGATATGTTGGATAGTTGAGGATATGTTGGATAGTTGAAAAATATCCCTGGAGCCAGATTCAGGGTATTATTCAAGTATATAAGGTTCAGGCCTCATTTAAGGTTAATTTAAGTAATCATTTTAATTGGTTAAAAAGTGATGGTGTTTATAAAATTTTGATTTGAAATAATAGGAAAGAACTTCACAGTCTAGCACTAGTAAACATGCATCATTGGGAGCAAAAGCCTCACTTGCATTAGTTCAATCGTCAAATTTGCATTTACAAACAAGCATATAAAATCTTGAAAATAGTGTTTACAAGCAAAATATTTCCTGCATGATTTCTGGGTTATTTCTTCGCTCACTCCTTGCTCAATGACAAAACGTACTTAGGTACCCACCCTAATTGAAATTGTTTGTTATCTCCCAGATTCTGGGAGACACGTGACCAGCCGATAGCAGGGTCTTTCCCAGCCGGTGGAAAGTCCCTGCGACGGAGGTTGCACCCACCCCTGATTTTTTATTTCTGCATGCTTTTAGTTGAGTAATGCATATACAGGGTGTATCAAAAAATTTCCCAAATGGATAATTTCCTCAAAATCACACAAAATGTGAGATATTTTTTGTAACCGAGAGTAAATATACTGTATGTATATTGTAATTAAGTTTTTATTATTTTGTAATTTGTATATTTCGAATAAACTAGTGTCTGATGTGGTATATCAAACCTGCATAGCACGTAACTTTCTTATTTAGGTAGATTTTTCTAAGAGGCAGTTCATATGATCCCGCTTACACAAGATTAAACGAGCGTGCAATGATTTTGAGATATTGAAATAAGTCATTTGTTAATGATTCGGAAAAATAACATGATCCAGGTGGCTTTTGATTTTGTTCTGTAGAAATATCAAATGGGCAAAATGTAATTGTTGAGCACTAATTCGTGCGAATATGTTTTTTTTGCATTGATCTATATTTAGTCTGTTGTTAGCATGTGCTTGTCTGGTTTCATAAGGACTTATTTCAATACCTCAAAGCCATGCATTGCTCGCTTTGTTTAATCTTGGGTAAATGGGATCCATAAACTTCCCCTGACTCGCTTAATTTCAATGCATAAAACTTAATATTTGAACATTTGAAACATGTGAGAATTTCATACATGAAGTCTTAATGTGGAATTTCATATATGAAATATTTGATATATGAAATCTTTATGTGGAATTGAAACAGTTTCATATATGAAAATTTCACATATGAAATATTTCATATATGAAATCTTTATGTGGAATTGAAACAATTTCATATATGAAAATTTCATATATGAAAATTTCATATATGAAAATTTCATATATGAAAATTTCATATAGGAAATATTTCATATATGAAATCTTTATGTGGAATTGAAACAATTTCATATATGAAAATTTCATATATGAAATATTTCATATATGAAATCTTTATATGGAATTGAAACAATTTCATATATGAAAATTTCGAAACCGGGATGTTTTTCGACCGCTAGAACCTAAGCAACGCGTGTGGCAATTTTGTAACCTTGTAACTACATAAACAAATAGTGTTCGTAACGCATTTACTGATAAGCCTTAAAACTTGGCATAGAATAAAAGGGGACGTAAGCCTTTATTTTGCAATAAATCACGAGTTATTCCACATAGTTGGAAGAAAATATATATATATATATATATATATATATATATATATATATATATATATATATATATATATATATATATATATATATATATATATATATATATATATATATATATAGAGGTAGTAACTTCTAAACAAGTAAAGCTTTTAAAGAGAAATAACTTGCATCATATAGAGGAAGGACTAACTTAGATTTTGATATGTTACAGTTGTATTTCACTTAAAAATTAACGGAGATATTAATGTATAAAATCGGGAGCATATTTCTAGATGTGTCTGAAATATGCAACAAAACCGGCGTATCAAATATTAATCAAGATCTGCCTGACTAAAACATGTACTATTACCAGTAAATAAATGACACTTGACAAATTGTTTATTGTGAAACAAAGTATCATTATCTACAAAATACAAGCAAGATTTGTTCGTCTGAAATCCGTGTGTGTTCCTAGCATGAATACGTTTCCTTATTTCATGAGACCACTGCATCGCGAAGGATCGTCATGGATCGTTCGTAGTTCTGAATTAGGGCATGCTGTCACATTGGAATTGTGAAGCTCTTCTAACTTCTGCAACGTTTTGAAATCTTGTTAAGAACACCCAAACTCTTTTGCCTTTTCTTAATCTTGGTAAGTTCAGAATAAACTGAGAATAAAACACAGTCAAACCATACAACTCCATAAGACATACAAGCTACTCCCCAGAGACATCCAACATTTTTGGAACAAAGCGTAACAAAATAGTAGCGTTGATACTGTCATGTGTATTTGCAAAAAGCAATATTATTTCCTTCATTAAAGAATAATATTCATCCTGCTCTAACCGAGAAATAATCAACTTTTTTTTTAACCCATGAAAAACATAAAAAAATTTAGGCTATTTAAGAAAAATTTAAGCGCCTGCCTTGCATGGTCTTTCATGCATATACCTTTAAGTTTGTAAAGACCTATTAAATACCTGCATAATTTCGAACGTTCATATTTCAGGAAACAATGAGCTAAGACTTACATGTAAGATGTCTATATCTACGCCATATCCCTTACAAACCCTAACGACAATTCGCTGAAATACAAGTTAGCCTGCATGATATGTCATTAAGCAAACAAACGCTAGAGTTAAAATATGATATGCCGTTTTTCGCTAATTTTAGACACATCTCAAAATATGCTCCCGATTTTGAACATTAATATCTCCGTGAATTTTTAAGTAAAATACAACTGTAATATATCAAAATCTAAGTTAGTCCTTCCTGTATTTAATGCAAGTTATTTCTGTTTGATAGCTTTACTTGTTTAGAAGTTATTAAGAATCAAACCGGAGTACTTTTTTTTGGGACACCCGGTAGATATAGATATATAGATATATAGATATATAGATATATATAGATATATATATATATATATATATAGATATATATATAGATATATATATATAGATATATAGATATATATATAACTACAGACGGTACCGTTTTGGCCTTATGGGCCTCATCAGTGTAGTGCTGATGAGCAGGATGAAAGTAACTGCTATTTACAGTTACCTTTGATGGCCCTTTGATGCCTCACGATTGTGGGACATCAAAACCATGCCAGAGCGCTCAAACTGCAAGCAGTGAGCGAGCGCAATGCGTAAGCGCACTGTAAAAACTGATAGGTTAAAATAACAAAAAAAAATAGGTTATTTGGTTTGGTCTAGGACAACCCGATAAAAATAGGTTATTTCAATAGGTTAAAAGAACCAGAACTAAATAGGTTAAAACAAACCATTAAAAATGGGTTGGTTTATACCCATAAGAAATAGGTTGTTTTAATAGGTTAAAACAACTAAAATTAAATAGGTTAAAACAAACCATCGAAAATGGTTACTTTAACCTATAAATCTGTAATATGTCATTTTAACGTATTAATTATTGGTTGATTGAACTAAAGATTTATGGTTATTTTGACCAATTAAAAAAGGTAATTCCAACCTATATTCAAAAGTTATAAAATGACTAAAATTGAAACTGTCAAATTGAGCATATTTCAACCAAATAAATATAGGTTGTTTTAACTATAATACAAATGGTACGGATATTCACCAATAATATTTTGGTTGATTTGGCCAATTTTTTTAGTTATAACAACCAGTAAATAACGGTCAAAGTCGGAGTACGAAACATCGCGCACTTTCGTTGGTTAAATGATGTTGCGTCAACTGAATAAGATACGCTAAAACGAAATAGCTAAACAATAATTCTGCAGGCAATTAATCATCCAAGTGCGCTATAATCAAATAATATTATGAATTGTATATAAAAATATATTGTGTAACATCTAAAATTACAGTAAGTACACAGTAGTACGTTTTGTGTTACTATAGCCTGTGTTCCAGTTGACTACACTGTTACTGACACACAGGCTAGAGAGTTGCATGGTTTTGTCAAGTATTATATATTATCATGAAATCATGGCTAAGCACTTAGCTTAGCATTAATTAGATCGCGATCACCATGCAACCCCGGCCTGTTTGTGCATTCTCAATCTCTCATTATTACAATATGTTACAACAATCGATCGCCATATAATCTTAGTTCTAGCTTGTGTTCTATAGTTCACCAATTGGCAGAGTTTGACCAATCCTTCCCAGCCGAATATGCTCGAGGAACATTGCCAAGGCCATTGAGGTATTCAGCATTAAGAACAAAATACCGTAAACCTCCGACTATAAGCCCTGGGCTTATATTTTTCCGTAAGCGATTTTTGATGGGCTTATACAAGGAGGGGCTTATATACGGGGGGGGCTTATACATGGACGATATATAACAAGTATAGTAATAGTGATAAACAAGTGTTAAGCATAGTAATAATAGTGATTCTACCTCATCATAGTCTACGTCACATAGGAATCACATGAGATTGCGCGAGCAAGCTATATCATGTGCCGTAAGCTTTCGATCATGGCGGACGACAAGGTGAACGAAGCACAAGGAAAATCCAATTTTTCGGACGAAGACGAGGAAAGATTGCTCGCCGAAGAGGCCGAACAAACACAAGATTATGTCACCACCGGTGACACAAATAATGGTTCCACTAGGATGTGGGAGGCCATCAAGGGCCTTGGAAAGAAACTCAATCTTTTGGCGGGAACGCCAAATACACGCATCACCGATGCTCCACTAAAGCGGAAAATACCGCACACAGTGACTAAAGAGTCAAAAAATGACGCAGAAACCCCACCGGGGTCATCTCGTCAAAAGAAGCGAAAATCTTCATCAGTTTGCGACGATGCATCTGACGATTCTGATCGAGACGTCACAGCCTTGCT